AAAATAATATTATCAAAAGAAGTTACAATAATTCCTTATTCAGCCGATTTTCCTGTCGTATTTTCTTATGACACTTCCTAAGATGGTCTATGAGCTTTTATTGCCCGCCAATTTCTTACTGGCCAGGAGAAACCTATTGCTTACGCATCGAGGACACTTTCGGGGCTCAGTGGCGTAGCTAGAATTGATCAATGGGGGGGGGGGGTAAATATTTTTAATATTTTGTGCTTTATGAGTGTCTAACCACTATTGAAACCATCATTAATAAAATATTAATAAAAAAATTTTGGTGAAATTTATAATCAATAAGAGACTGAAAGCATTATTCTGAAAATTTGTTTAATCAATTAAATCCATTCGGTGAAGAAAAAATGCGCCCCACAAATCCCCCATTTTTTATGATCACTCGATATATCTTATTCTATGTTAAAAATAATTATTTTAATTAAATTTTTGCATATATCTTATTGCAAATGCAATACTTTTATTAAAAAAAGAATAATATAAAAAATAATTAAATACTATGCCTAAGAATTCATTAAAATTAAGTTTTGCATGTAAAAATTTTATAACTATGAACATATTATAATAATATTACAGTTATATGATATTTATAGAGGTCTGCTTTTCTCTGAGGTTTGAAATTTATCTAGAATCAAATTTTTATCTAGAATAATCTCCTTATAAATATTTAATATAGCTAATCCATTTAAACGGTTCCGGTGCTATTTCTTAAATAGATTTTTAACCTTTTTAAAGTTGAAAAAGACCTTTCATGAGTTTAGGTACTAATCGGTAAAATAGCAAAATAAAAGGCAATGTTTTAATATTAAGCAGGGAATCTAAAGTGCAATTATACATGGAAAGGTGGAAGGTTCTGTCAAGATTTTTATACCAAATTTCGACATCACAAAGTAACTTATCATACTATCCTGATAAATCATCAGGATACGGAAAAGGAAAATACTTTTTAAAATAATGTAACTAATAAATCTTTTATTTAATTGAAATAAGGAAAATAAAAATATTTATTTTATAAAAATCTACAATCGTAGACGCATCAATATTTAAGCGATTGGGCAATTTAGAAACTACTCTAGGTTTAAAACTTTCAATCCCAAACATAATATACCTTTGCTTTCTCGTATATTTCATGATCCATGCTGTTTTTTATTTAAAAATTATAAAAAAATAAATTAAAATTTTTAAAACTATCTAATTATTTCAACAATATAAATTTATTACTAAATTATAAATATCTATTTTAACTATGCCATATAATATTTACAATATATCTTTATGATTATTTAATATTTTACATATAATTTTTAATATATATTTTTAAACCAAGTGATCATTTAAAATTAAAATTTCTTATCTGTTTTTTAAATATATTTCATTTTGATATCGTATATATTATTTTATTTCTAAATTGAAACCGTTTTTAAATAAAATAATTCGTAATAAAAAAAATTCGGAGGTTATGGGGGGCGTCCCCCTTTGTCTACGCCACAGCGGGGGTAAAATGAATTGCGCCATCATTGATTGGGAGGCTTCGGCGATCATGTTCGCTACGAGATGTTTACATTTTATTTTGGTTACGGACCATAAGCCTTTAAAATATATAGGGTGATAAAAGAGACCTAAATAAAATAACAAATAACCGTTTGATACGGTAGGAAAGGAAGCTTTTAAATACGACTATGAGATAATTCATAGTCCTGCGGTCTATCCCAAAGAAGTTACAAAAAAATTCGAAGATTAAATCAGAGAATTAGAAATTAATCTAAAGACTTATCCTACACTCGCAATAAAGACATAAGGGAAACGAGCAATGATATCAATCTGAAAGAGATAATAAAATTAATTAAAAATCATGAGTATATTGATAAAATATATAATTATTCAGAGATTTTAAAAATATTTAATTAAAGATAATATTTCGTTCGAATAAGGACTATTATTTTATAATTGATAGAATTGTTATTCCCGATATCTAAAGAAGGCGGTTTTGACTTTTATTCAACAGAGACATCCTGGGATAGTGGGGATAAAATCATTATGTAGATATTATGTGTTTTGACAAATCTTAATCGTGATGTTGAAGAGTTCATTAAAAGTTGCAAGAGTTGTCAGGAAGGAAGACCGGGAGCCAGAGAAGTGCCGTTATACAATTGGAATATTCCTATTTCACCTTGGGAACGAATACACATTGATTTGACAGGCCCCATATCTGGAATGTATTGTTTAATTTTCATAGACACTTTCACTAGATGGGTTCAAGTTGAAATTTTAACGCATATTAATCCGGCGAATGTAATAAATAATCTACGTAATTATCTCGCTAGATTCGGGTTCCTAGTTACATTGTTTCAGATGACGGTACTCAGTTTGCTGGATCTGAATTCAAAACTTTTTTTTTAAAAAACATTTACTCAGATCAAATGGTTTGTTTAAGTATATACGTACGATAAAGACAATTTTCAATGCTGGAAGTAGATTGGGACTCCGCAGTTAAATTTTGTGAAGGTTTCAATTACTCACCGAAATACTTAAATGCAACTACCGGTAATGCCGAAATGATGTTTGAAAGGCCGCTCAGGACGATGTTAGATCAATGGAAATTATCTATGAGGGAACGGACTGAAAACTCATTATGGAAACAAAAATATTATAAAGATAGGAACGTTGAGCCCCGTGAATTTGAAGAAAAGCAAAATATTTGGGTAGAAAACGAAAGGACTAAGGAATGGCATGAGGGGACAGTGGTTTAGCGGAAAAGTGCGGTAATGTATGAAATTGAGTCTGAGAGTCTTGTAAGCTCGCCGACCAACTGAGGAATGCTCATGTATAAGCTAATGAAATACCCAAGACAATGACTGAGGATTTGGACAATGCAGAATAATGGAAATACAACTTTAAAAAATGGAAACCCCCCATTACGTTATCATGATGAATTCAATTTGTAGTGGGGAGAACTGTAATGTATAGATATGGAAATGCATTTTACAATAAAACCTGTCTAATTTGGGCACTATTGGGAGCCCAGATGTCCGACTTAGGCAATTGCACAATTTATGGAGACTTTATTTCCAATAGTACCCCGGCCTGGCTTAGACGGGTTCCGGGCCGGACCTTATTTTAAAAATAATTTTGTTTCGGGCTGGATGTGGCTTAAATTTTTAATTATGTATATTCAATTTTGTGAAATTTAATTGATTTATAAAAAATTGTTGCAAGAAACAAGGCACCAATAATTTTTCTTTGTAGAATATTTTTTTTACATTAAAAAATATTACATTTTTCTAAATTTAAATAAATTCGGACCGGGCTTTTCTGGAAAAAAAAATTTGAGCGTAATAGGTTCGGACAAATATTTTAAAAAAATTCCGCGTCAGTCTTATAAAATTTAGGCAGATCACTAATAGTGTTTTGAATGGATTCAAAATTTTGGTCAATTTAAGGATCAGCTCGAATTATCAATACCCCAGATTAGACAAGTTTTACTCTCTATATTGCTTGCTTCTCAAATCATCAATATGGGAGTTTAAAGAATAAATATATAGCCTACAATGATTATTATTTGATAAAGGTTTTATTCAAACCTCTATTGTCTTGCGTTCCATTTTTATTACATATATTTAACCCTGCACACCGGCGAAACTATTGGCGACTGACGCGATTTAAAAAATCTAATCGACGACCGATAACGCCCCGATTTTTAGACGTCGTTAACAAAAGCGGTTGTAAACAGGCGCAGTTATTAATTTTTATAACACATATTTTTTTAATTGTTTTTTTTAAAAAAAATTAAATAAAATATACACTAGATAGACTATATATATCTCGACATATTTTTTTAAGAGAAAATTCATTATAAATCCAAAATCAATTTCGTAATATTCTAATTATCATGTATAAAAATAATTATATTTAAATTTTCGGGACATGATGATCTCCTTGAATTCAATGTCAATCCAGAAGTAGTAAGAACTATTTCACTGGGTGTGCTAGTCGTCGGAATACAAAGAATTTTTAGGCTAGCCGGGAAATATTGGGAGTTTACTCTTTTTTCTCTTCAAAAATTTAAAAACATCTATATCTTGTTAATGTTGTTTCACAAGAAGAATGTGACTTCTTGTTCTAAGTCACCTAACGTGGAATCCTAATGTGATTTGTTGTATGTTTATTTGCCAATTTTGTAAAATAACGTGAATTTAATAATTCCTCTTGGGCCTCAATAACTATATTTATTACTTGAATTTCATCATTCTCTATAAGTTTAAGATGTTTCATTATAAATTCCGAATCTCCAGATACCATATCCCAAGATGACATACATATTAAATATGTAGGAAATTTGTGTACCAAATACATAATAATTATATATAAATTTAATAATCTGCTGAATATATATTCATTTTCAGGTCCTTTGTCAGATAAAAATATTAGTAAAATAGATAATATTGTCAAAAAGGAATTCAAAAATGTTCTAGATAGGAGGATGGCATTTTTACTACCAAAAATATTGCTATTACTAACTCATGGATTCTAAATTGTGCTAATATGAAAGTTAAACAAAAATGTAGACTCTACAAATATTTTCAACAAAGAACTATTAATTCATAATTTAGGGCAACTTTCAAGTACTTATCTACACAGTTCCATTGATTACTTATATCAGGAAAAAAATGATATATGACTTGAGGGTTAAAAATATTTTTAAAAATTTGATCTGGCACAAACAAATTTACTTTTCAAAATATATAAATTATTTGTACTTTTGTTAGAACTGATTAAGGTTTCTTCCTAGAATTAAAAAAATTCTGGTTAATGGAGCAAGCTAAATTAAAAGAATACATTTAATTTATCAGGTCTAAATTTATTTAAACAAAATTCCCTTAAGGAAGTTCTAAAATACCATAAATAAATATAACTATAATTTTTTATTATATCAGTAACAAGAGGTAATTTAAAAAAAATATATGACATAAATTTTATTAAAAAAATATTGTTATGAAAAATAAAGCAGTGTTGTTTGTTTAAATAAATATATATAAGCAATAAATTTATTAATTCAAAATTATCATTGCCCTTTATTGAAAGTCTTATGCATCCGATCATTAAAAGCTTGATTTGTTTCTTTATAATATGGCAATTTTTTCATTTCTTCCATCCATGCATGAATTTTTGGATATTCTACAAAATCATATTTTAGCATCCATAAAAATGAAACAGTACAAAACATTGAAATGTCAGCTAGTGTCATTTGATCTCCTATAATATATTTTTATATTTAGATGTAATTACTAACAACCTGCAATATATTTGCTGTGATTTAATAAGTATTCTAAATTATCTAAAGCATCTTGCATATCTTTTTCTCTTTCAGGATTTGATGGTTTATTTTGAAATACTTGAGGGTACTATAATAAATTATGGAAAATATTATATAAAAAGTAAAAACCGCGTATTCTTTCAGAGCTGGGTAAAATTTCCCTATATCAAAATCTAATCTGCTATCAACTAAAGCTCGTTTTTTAGCATCTTTTGGATATAAAGGGGTTTCACCACCATATTTATTAGCAAAATATTTCATAATTGCACGACTAGAAAAAGAAATTTACAACAAAAATTTGCCTTAATACCTTTCCCAAATAATAAATCCATTATCATCAATTGTAGGCACAGTATGGAATGGATTCATCTTAATTTTAATAAAAAATTTATAAATTAAATAATATTCTACCTTCAAAAATTCAGGTGTTTTATTTTCTCCTTTAAATAAATCAATACCAATAATCTCAATAGGTATATTTAAAGCATTTGCAGTCATCCATATAGCTCTGCATGGTCCACTTTCTTTCATAACATATAATTTTATAGGATGAGACATTTTAAAATTTAAGAAAAATTAATTTCGTGGTAAGGCTGTCCTAAATTCATTCATTCATTACCACGCCAGTGCAATTTCATCACCCACCAGGAATTGTAGCGTGCACCATGTATATTCACTAGTATATAGATCCTATACATGATGTATACCCGTTTTATTATAGTGGACGGTACCACTATGTAGTAAGCTAGCTTAGTAAAGAAGAGAGGAGTAAGCAGCGTCTACATGACAGGATTTGCCCTGGATGCAAACCCCCTTCAAAAACCTTTGCCTACCCCCCTAAAAAAATCCCCGCCGTCTTCGGCGGCGGTGTCTTTATATCATTATTTTCACCTATTTATTTATTGATACTCTTTTCAAAAATTTTTTAAAGGATAATAAATTAATCTATCTCTACTACCAACTATCGATATTTTGTGAATATAAAGAATTTATTTTTTAGATAAAAAATTAAATTAAAACCTCCATTATTTACAATGAATTAATTATTATGCCATTATGAGCTTGCTGAAATATCTAAACCTTTTAAATAGGATAGTTTATTTGGAAAACAATGTGTATGATTGTTTGCAATATATAGATTTGGTCGATGAATTTTATTATAATAATACTATAATAAAAGTATTAATTTTTACAGCAATAAATTTTGTCCTATTTCATCTCAAAATTTAATAGATAACAGATTTAATCTAGAACGGTTATTAGGATGGTCGCACAGGATAAAAATTAGACAGAAAAAAGACACTTTATTAAATTCAATAGTCTTTATTGATTATATTATTAGAATATTGACGTTGATGTAATGTCTTTTTATTTTATAATATGGTTATACAAAAAAAATAAGTGGTAAAAGAAAATGAAAATATATATCAATATATATATGTTGTATTCCATATTAAATCAACCAAAAAAAGTCGATTCTCAACCCGACCCCCTTCGATTTTTAAAAATTTGTTTGTTGGTAGTATATACACTAACTAATAAAAATGTAAAATTTTACTTTTCAAATCGGCTTACTTCATGAGATATGGCCATCTTTAGAAACGCGAAAATTCCAAAATACAGTATATTTAATTTTAAATATCTCAAAAAGTAATTAAGCTGAAGGCATGATTTAAATTTTATTAAATAGCTTTAGAATATCCCTTTAATATGATATAAAAATTATTTTATTAATAAAAAGTTTATTACCAAAAACCGGAAATAGCTATAAAATAAAAATTGCTCTTTTTTTTTCTTTCAAATTTTTTTTACAAATAGACATTATACTTCTTAATATTTATACAAAATTTTAGATTGGGGCCATTACTGGGCCAATAGCTATTACGCTTTAAATATAAATAGTATGGCTTAAATCCTAAATTATACCAAATATATAGTAATTTATGAAACAAATAAAAAGAAAATTCCTTTATGATCGGGCCGATTATATTTTTTTTATAAATGTTTCGGGCTGTGAGCCCACTAGTAGACATTATGTCATATTTAACATATAAGTTTAGCTATTTTATTTTAGAGAGAAAATAATTGTAAAAATATTTATAACTTTATTTAGCTAATTATTTATATTACATGAATATCAAATGGAAAATTAATATTGTTATAAACATATTAAATTAAATAATATCATACATTAAATTATCTAATGAATTAGAATAACGTTTGACTTTCATTTTTTCCATTAACTTTCATTGATATAAAATTATTCATACCTGGCATAAGTCTGTTGTTTTCGTCAGAATTATAAAATTCTATTACTTTATTTGCAATGTCATCCGGAATTATTCTACTTGGTTTTATGATATTTGGGTTTGACAAAACACCCTTTTCTTCAACTAATTGTTTAGCTGTCCGGGCCATAAAATTTGTTGTTGAAAATTCCTTTTCAATTTTATCAAGAGTCCAAGATTTTGGTAAAACTGTTAAAATTTGTATTTTTTCATTGCGAGAACTTGTAGCAAATTTTTCTTTCAGTTGATTTATGATTTCGGCTTCATTATTTTTTGCTTGATCCTCTAGATTTATTTTAAAAACTTTTTTAATTTTTCCCTGAATTTTCAAAATTTTATTTACAGGATATTTTTTTTCATTTACTTTTCTTTTTAATAGGTGTCTCCCCTAAAAATGGCAAAGTTTCATTTAAAGTTGAAATTGAAGTACTAAAATCTGTATAAGAGTCGGGATTATTGCATGGTTGATCAGGTTCAGAATCGCTAAATGTTTCATTAATAGTTGAGGTAGAAGGTAAGTTAGAAATAGAAGGTAATGTGATCGGGATCGTAGAAGTAAAAGGTGAGATCAGATTTGTTGAATATTTTTTTAATTTTTTCCGGCAAGAGCTACAAATTTTTTGATTAATTGATAAGCTAGAATTCACTTCTATCATCCATTGTAAAACATTTCTAAGATCGTAATGTACTGAATGAGATTTTATTCTAAAGGGATTACAGAACTTTACTGGAATAGAAATATCTTTTCTAGACATTTAAATTTTTTTGGTAAGGAATAAAAGATAGGTATTAATTTTATATAATTATTTTAAATTAAAAATAAATTGGATAATGAATACCGATAATTTAATTTTCTTAGAAAAATGGCTTTATAAAATTAATCAATATAAATGACGGCTGTTGCTGTTGGAGTTGAATTTGATTTTTATGATAATTATTTTATTTGATAATTAATTATAAGTAGAAAATAATCTTTATGAAAATATATTTCTGACGATCACAAAGATAATTTTTTATCCGGCAAAGAAAATAATCTACATAATTCACTCATAGAATTGCCAGGTCAAAAATCTCGAATTTAAAAAAAATTTTTTTTTTTGGGGGGGGGGGGCGAATATAAATCTTAAGATGGAGTTCGGATTTAAAAAAATAATTACTCATTTCGTATAATATAGAATTTAAGCCATACTATTTATATTTAAAGCGTAATAACTATTGGCCCAGTAATGGTCCCAATTAGTGAAGGTCAACGGTCCGGTCCTATCGGTCTTAGACCGGGATCGGACCGGACCAATTGTCGGACCGATCTTTTTTTTGAGGACCGTGGTCCGGACCGGTCTTTTTATTTTTTACGGTCCAGACCGCGGTCCGGACCGGTCTTTTATTATTGTTTAAGTTTGCTTTAATATACAATTAATATAATTTTATTGTATATTTTATGATATTTTTCTAGAGGAGTCATTTTAGATTTTGTTAATTTTTATTTTACAATATGAAAACCATAAGTTTGTCCAAGAAACATTTTACTTATAGTCCCAATAAAAACATAGAGTATGTGTTCACTGCAGTACCAAATTTAATGTATCGTCAGCACCTAGTAACAAAATAATTGTTTATAATTTTTTAAGCAATAAATTAATCAAAATAAGCAATAATATTATTAAAATATTTTAGTTATTATATAGTTCTATTTTTTTAAAGAAACTGTCTGTATAATTTATTGTAAAAATTACTTAACCTTATTCTTAATAAAATAATTAGGTACCTTAAGCAGACATCTGATAAAACATAAAATATATACTTCTAATGATGAAAATGAAAATATCTCAAAAAACACAATCTACTCTTAATTTTAATATGCCCTCTACAAGCACAAAATCATTTTTTTCAATACCATTGGATAAATTTTATTGTTTATATAATACTCTATATTTAATAAAATGATAAAACAAATCAAATTAGGGACCGGTCTTTTTATTTAGGACCACGGTCTGGATCGATCTTTTTCTTAAGGACCGTGGTCCGGTCCGGTCCGAGGGTATCGGTCCAGTCCGGACCAAAGACCGGACCGTGACCTTCACTAGTCCCAATCTAGGATTTTGTACAAATATTAAGATATATAATGTCTATTTGTTAAAAAATTTTGAAAGAAAAAAAAGGGCAATTTTTATTTTATAACCATTTCCGGTTTTCTATTTCCGGTTTTTGGTAATAAAATTATTTTTAATATAATAAATTTTATATCATATTAAAGGGCTATTCTGAGCTTAATTACTTTTTGAGATATTAAAAATTAAATATGGTGTATTTTGAACTTTTCGCGTTTCTAAAGATGGCCATATCTCATGAAGTAAGCTGAGTTGAGAATTAAAATTTTATATTATTGCTAGTTAGTGTATATACTACCATCATGCAAATTTTAAAAAAAATCGAAGAGGGTCGGGTTGAATCTTCAGTTGATTTGATATGGAATACAACATATATTTAATCGCCTTGAGATGTATTTATATACATGTTAATTTCATTGAATTAAAAGATAATATGAACATATTTAAATATACAATTACAACAAATTGAATAAGCGAAATATTTAAAAAGTATTTAAATATACAATGAATTACAACAAATTAAGCGAACATGTAACAGATTAAATTTCTATTAATATAAAAATCTATCTTCATTTATTATCAATGGAAAAACGATATTTACTAGCCTATTGCAACTTAAATTTTATCAATATAATAAATATATCTAATATGAAATTAATATTAAAAAGTTCGAATGATTATTGGTTAGAGCTTTTTTTTTCTATTTGGGTGATACATGTGTCGAGTTTTTTTATAAATGGTTTTGGACACAGACTAAAGAATTAAAAAAAGAAAAGCTTTTATATTCCGAATATTTGAGGATTTTTTTTATTGGTTATAAGAAGGTTAAGCATTTAAGGCAGATATTATTTTGACTAACGAATACATGTTTATATTATAATTAATCACAGTATAAGGTGCCCCACTATCCGAAAGCCCGACAAAAGCGGGTTGAAGACCTACTAAGTGAATTTATATAAGTCTTCATAAATACAAATAGAGCAAAAATAAATGTAGGCACTTTTTTAGAATATTAGCACATTTTAAATTCCCTTTTGTAAAAAGCTAAGTAACACCTCTGATCAAATTTATTGCCTTTATATATACACACTATATTCTATTTTCTTTATTATTATCAATTATTTATACCAGAATACAAACAAAGTAACTACTATTATAAAAATATAGTTAAAAATGTGATAGCCAATATTAAATTTATAATAAATGACATGTAATATAAGAATTATTTATTCAAATCTACTATATAATATATAATTAAGTAAATTAGTTATTCATAATAGAGTTTTGATTAATTCCTGACCAGAATTCAGATCCAGAACCCTGATTCTAAGCACAT